CAAATAAATAAAAAAACCGTCCAACTTATATTAAAACCAATGAAAATCTAACAAATCATTACAAAAAAAATTGACCTTGTAAAGTAAGACAATTTTGTTTTTTTGAATTGAATTGTACAGTTTAACTTGAATAGTATAAATATTTCTAATGATTTCTACATTCTATTGGCAAGCATAAAAATTAGTCAGATGTACTTGTAATCAAAAAATTCAGATTACAAATATTTTCAATTTTTTTTTTAATTTTCTTGATTAGTATTTAACAATTACAATTACTTCCGAAACTCAATAGATATCCATTATTTATTTAAATTCTATGAATGTTTTTAGTAATTATAAATGTGTTACTATTATTTTCATGATTTATTAAAATATAGATTTTTTACTTTATCTTGATTTAGTGAAAATTTTGTTATATAATTCTTTTTGCTGTTTATTTTTGATGCAATAATTACGTTGAATTTTTCATTATGATTATGAGAGAAAATGAGAAAAATTTTGGTAAATTTTCATCATAGTTGAAAAAGTAATTGCACAATTAAAACAAATAGGTTTTTGTTTTAGGAAAGCTCTTCTTGCTGTTGAAAAGGCTCACATAGCCCATGGTGAAGTAATAGAAAAATATGAAAAAAATTGACTTGAAATTGAACGATTAAGACGAGAATATGAAGATAAATTACAAAATGAATCAACTTAGTGGTTTTAATTTAGGATTAGAAGAAAATCAAGTAAGAATTTGTATTTGATTTTTGTATTTAAAACTAAATGTAAATTATTTTTTTTAAATGTAGATGAAAGAAGATCGATGATTAAAAGAAGAAGCAGCTAAAAAAAAGGAAACAATTTTCCGAAGAGTACGATTCAATTGATCGTCAACAACAAGTTGATAGAACAAATCTTGAACAAGAACAAACAAGTCAAAAAGATTATATTGCTTGAATAAAACAAACTGAATTATGTATTGAAGAATTAAATGAAAAAATTAATAAATTGAGTGGTTATATTGCGTAAATATATTGTTTTAATTAATGTTATAAATTAAACTAAATATCATATATGATTTATAGTGATCTTGAACGAGTATTTAATGAAAAATAAGCTAATGTTCAATTACTAGAAAAAGAAATTGTCGAAAATCGAAAGCATTGTGCTGAATTAGAAAAAGAACTTGATCAAGTTAATAAAGAAATTGGTGAAGTTCAAGTAAATTTATTCTATAGAGTTAGTAAAAGGTTTCTTTGTATTTTTTTTTGTTTTTAATATTAGTCCCAAAAAAATGAAACAAGTCGTGCACAATGACGTGCTGAACTTATCGAAAATTTTAAACAATTTCCAAGCGTGGTACATATTTTAATATAAGTGTTCATTATATTGAATTCAATAAATAATTTAGTCTTACATAGATTGATATGATTGGTCCATGACATTTTTTTTGAGTTTAATTATGTTAAGTCAAAGAGATACTTTTTAACAATTTTGAATTCATGCGCAATTTATTATTTCAAAAAAAAATAAAGGCTGATTCTGTTGTCTTTCAAACTCATATATTCTTAAGTGAAAATGCACAAAAAAAATCATGATATAATTAACTATTACCATTTTTATAAGTTTTAATCAAATATTAATATGATTTCTTAGTAGAACTAAAGTTTCGACACGTGAAATTGTATAAGTTTAGTGTAATTATTATGCTAATTTAAGGGTTCTCCCTAAAAGAAAAAAGTCAATTTTCGTTGGGATCATCCAAATTGAGATAAAAACATGCGGAGATATCTTATAGTTTTCTCTTTCAAAGATGATAACATTTTTTCTTAGTACTCTTTTCAAAAAAAAACATTCAAGATTTCTGAAACTTCCTATTCAAGAAACGGTTTTCGCTTGTCTCACAAATGCATCCGAAATTTGTTAGTAATGACTTATTTAATGGATTAATATATTTTCTGTTTTTATGTGAAACAGCGTGTCAAGGTGCAAGGCATGATAAGGTAGTGATTTTTGAATTAAAATTTTTTTAAAATCAATTCAGAGTTATTTGATTATCATCTTTCGAGGATTTTTTGTTTTTGAACAGTTTAACTTGTGAACTCTTTTACAGACTAAAAAGGGACTTAATTCAAAAATCGAGCCTGATCATACCCTGCATCTTGATACGCTCTTTTAAACAAAAAACAAAAGACTTAATATATTAATAATGTTGGGACAAAATATTTCGGGATGCCAAATCAACTATTTTTAGTTTTTGTTTTGCTAGTATCTCCTTGAAACGTCAAGATTTCACGTGATTTGAACATTCCTGAACCAAAATCAATTTTTGAGTAGACTTTAGTAATATATTTAGATTTTCATTGTTTTCTTTACATCATATATAAGATGAACAAATTTTCAGTTTCTAACAAATAATCATATCACAATGAACTAGTTAATTTGAGTATGAGTATCTTAGTTTATTTTAGAAGAGGAAAATATCTATGAAAAGTCTAGATTGATCGATTTAATGGATAGTATACTTTATGAAATAAACTACTGTTCAATATAGATGAGACAACACATAGGAAATGAGAAGTTTATCATACATGTGTATTTATATTTTCGAGAGATATTTAAATTCTGATTGAATATTATTATTGAATACTAAAATTTCATATGAAATCTACATAATTAAAAAGAAATTTTTTATATTCAGTATGGTCATTTAATTGATCTTTGTGAATCGACACATAAACATTTTCAAATGGTAATTACAAAAGTTCTTGGTCGTAATATGGATTCTATTGTTGTTCAACATGAAACTACTGTTCAATCATGTTTACACTATATGAAAGAACATCGTTATGAATTCGAAGCTTTTTTATCACTTGATTATGTTATAGTAACACCAGTGAATGAATAGGGTGGGAGGGTGTGAGTGTGGGTGTGGGGTGTGAGTATGGATGTGGGTGAAGGTTCAGATGAAAACAAGACTCACACGCATATGCACACTCACACCCACACCCTCAAGTTCTTTAAATTTTACGAG